AAACTAAATTTAGAGTTTGTGCTTCTAATATTTGATTTGTGATTCACCTAAGCAAGGCACTTGTGCTGAGAAAAACAATTATGTCTGTCTTTTATTCTCTCTCTCTCTCTCTCTCTCTCTCTCTCTCTCTGTATTTTTTTAAGAACCACATTTAATAGAGATGCTTAAAATTTAATTGAGATGCATAAAATGAGTTTTATGTCATTTTGCTGTTTCTCCTCTTAGATATGCTCATATATGGAAATGGTCTTTTATGGATCTTGCCATAAATGAAGATCGCTGTATGTGCAAATTACCCATAAGCACCTGAGAAAAAATACAACAGGTAACTGTATTAACATAAAAACAAAAGTTTGTAAAATTGCAATCACCAGCAATAATACTGTATGCATTGATTCCAGGGGTTTTATATCATTTTAAAATAATAATTTTAAACACTGAATGTATATGTGCACACATTTACTGAGGTTAATAAGAACAAAAGGCTATTTATACACACCGCACTGTAATGTATGGAGGAGAAAGTTTGTGCTCTGAGTTTTTTGCCTGCAGTTTGAGCTAAAACTATTGTTATAGAGACACATTTATTGGCGTAAGGGAAAAATATTCAATGCAAAACAGAGGACTGAGCAAAGTACAGGATGTGTCCAATGAATTCATTTAATAAAATAGGATTTTCAGCTGTGGGCAACCACTGCTTTTCAGAGAACATTTTACACTTTTTATAGGGAGAATAATCCAGCAGTAAAAGAGCCCATATCAGCAACAACCTCCTCCAATCTTGATTTCCAGGAAGATGATTGTAAATCATAAAATGTCATTTTTTTGGCAACACCTGGTATTTCTAATGTAAATCACTCAGCTATTCTTGCCACATTTTAAGGAAACTGAGTCTTAATCTATCTATCTATCTATCTATCTATCTATCTATCTATCTGTCTGTCGAGCACATCAGTCTATTTTCACAATGTACAATCATGTTTAATATAATGCATGACAGCATGCACATTTGTAAATCTGTCAGTTTTCATCAAGACGTTTTTGCTGTAATAACTTTTCAATTTGTTACATTACTATCTGCAAGCAAACTCACATCTAAGACATTTGTGATTGGCTTATGTATTGTTTTCCAAGTAATGTTTGACAGATGACAAGAAGTCTAGTAAGACCAAGAAGGTGGCTAAATGCTTATTAAACATCTTAAAATAAAATATCCAACTGTGAATATAGAGTTCAAACTAGATTGCATCATTCAACTTAAAATGTCGAAGTTTTTTCATTATAAAATGCTGAAGAGGCAACATATTTTTTAAATAATGAATCTAAATTGTAATTCAAGAAACTTGTTAGACCACTCAGCTATCCGTTTGAATTATTTATTTTATATTCTTCAATCTTATCATTTAAATTCAATAGATGAAGGGCAAACAAGAGCTCTGTACAAATGGGGTAATTTTGTATTTTCAGAAAAAAACATATGTAGATAACAAATTCCGACACAATACATGTTAGTGATTCCAAATTAGGTTGGTTGTTTTATTTTGGCATGAATGATGTTTTAAAAAAATTATGAAGTGTGAAATTGAAGGAAATTAGTGTTGGGATCCATGCTTGTGAATCTTTGTGTCTGTAACTGGCCAATAGAGGGTACTGTTGCATTGCAAGTTCAGCACAGGAGCAATAGATAGCAAATAAATATATCTTGTCAAGTGTGGTGTTGGACACACTTAGTCCTCATAACTGAAACAAAAAATTTGAGAATTTCATGTCCTGGACATCACATATGAAGATATCACTTGCAGGAGCATTGCAATATTAAAATATGGAGTATTGTATCTAAATTCTGGAGTAAACTAAATTTAGAGTTTGTGCTTCTAATATTTGATTTGTGATTCACCTAAGCAAGGCACTTGTGCTGAGAAAAACAATTATGTCTGTCTTTTATTCTCTCTCTCTCTCTCTCTCTCTCTCTCTCTCTCTGTATTTTTTTAAGAACCACATTTAATAGAGATGCTTAAAATTTAATTGAGATGCATAAAATGAGTTTTATGTCATTTTGCTGTTTCTCCTCTTAGATATGCTCATATATGGAAATGGTCTTTTATGGATCTTGCCATAAATGAAGATCGCTGTATGTGCAAATTACCCATAAGCACCTGAGAAAAAATACAACAGGTAACTGTATTAACATAAAAACAAAAGTTTGTAAAATTGCAATCACCAGCAATAATACTGTATGCATTGATTCCAGGGGTTTTATATCATTTTAAAATAATAATTTTAAACACTGAATGTATATGTGCACACATTTACTGAGGTTAATAAGAACAAAAGGCTATTTATACACACCGCACTGTAATGTATGGAGGAGAAAGTTTGTGCTCTGAGTTTTTTGCCTGCAGTTTGAGCTAAAACTATTGTTATAGAGACACATTTATTGGCGTAAGGGAAAAATATTCAATGCAAAACAGAGGACTGAGCAAAGTACAGGATGTGTCCAATGAATTCATTTAATAAAATAGGATTTTCAGCTGTGGGCAACCACTGCTTTTCAGAGAACATTTTACACTTTTTATAGGGAGAATAATCCAGCAGTAAAAGAGCCCATATCAGCAACAACCTCCTCCAATCTTGATTTCCAGGAAGATGATTGTAAATCATAAAATGTCATTTTTTTGGCAACACCTGGTATTTCTAATGTAAATCACTCAGCTATTCTTGCCACATTTTAAGGAAACTGAGTCTTAATCTATCTATCTATCTATCTATCTATCTATCTGTCTGTCTATCACTAAAATAATTGACATGAAAGTTGGGGTGTTGTTTAACAGAGTTCAGGGGCGGAGGATATATCAGAGATATGGCATTGTTGGCGAGACTGTGCCACCCAGCGTCACATCCCATGATGGATCATGAGCAGATGGATCGACGCAGACACACTCACATCTGGGCGCACCGCCTGATATCTGCCTCTGAACTGGCACAAGCCGGACCCTCTGTGTGCCTTTGGGAGTGCCATGACTCTATTACGCACCAAGTTAATCAACAGTTGAAGGTAGATACAGTCTCCATGAATTAAAACAATAACAACTTGTTCTGTTCCCCTCAATCTCATACCATTAGCTTACTTTTCCACAGCATGTCTATTTAATTGGTTTCAATTTACACTAAACATGTTCACATATTACATGTTACTATAATTAAGTGCTATGGCAATAACAAAAAGAATGCCTAATTACACGCAGTTCTAGAAAATAATTACATATTTAGTGCATGTAGTTCATTAGCTTTTCTCAGTGTTAACACATGTATGAACACTAAAGTGTGACCTCTATTTTTTTAATTGAAATGTCATTTCAAAAAAACTAGCTGGTTATTTACAGTTATACCTCTGAGAACCTCAGTTTAACCCTAAAACTCCAAAACAAGGGTGATTATGGGTTACTTCCTGCCCTCTTTGCATTTGCAAATGGATTACCCAGAAAACATGAATCAGGAATTTATTTTGAATTAATAGTCATGTCACAATGGAACATTTGTCACCATATTTAGTCAGTTTGACTTCAGAAAAACATGTATTATATATATATATATATATATATATATATATATATATATATAAT